TTCCTGCTGTGACAAACTCCTTTTATCACTTCTTGCTAAGTACTTTCAGTGACAGCTCCAAACGTTCTGACTTAATAGAAGTATGTGAACATTTCATCCCCATGATTTTTGTTTGTTTGGTTTGGTTTCTCTGTATAATAGTGCCCTGGCTGTCCTGGACTCACTTTGTAAGTCAGGCTGGCCTAAAACTCAGAGATCCACCTGCCTCTGTCTCCTGAATGCTGGGATTAAACATGCGCACCACCACGCCTGACTAGCCACCCTCATGGTTTTATCTGTCAATTTTTTCTCATTTTCAGTTTTTAAATCTTGAGCCTACATAGAACAGTAGCCTAGGAACTTGGTTAGTACCTCTGTGGAGTTATTCTTGAGATCCTCTAAAGATAGACAAGGCCTACACAGCTTAACCATCTGTGTATTTGGTGACCGTTAAAAATTGTTTAGAGGCATCATTGAATATCTACCATTTCCATGACACCATTTGGAATCTACAGAGAACAATAATAGCCTCAGTCCAAGCTAAAATGCTGATGTCATGGTCAAAACTCCAGCCCCCATTGCATAGTGAAAACTAGATAGGATGTGGAAAAATAAAGCAGAAGCTTAGTGCAAAGATTCTGTTTGCTGGGTCAAACATTGGAAGGATTTTGAAGGTTTGAAGTCCATTGTTGAGTTTTCTAATGGCTCTTAGCTATAAAGTTGAAAGGAACTCAAAATGTAGTGAATGAGGTTGTTACAGGCAGCTCTGAGGACTCAGACCAACCAGCCTCAGCCTTCAGTGAAGGTTTTAACAGGACTGGCATATGTTCACCTGGGAGCTCCATGAATTTTACATCCTAGACCTGCTTTATTCAGAGTATGGAGCAAACTGCCCCTTTGAGTTCACTAACAGCACTAGTCTGGTTCTGTTTTGAGTGGCTTTAATTCCATCATCTTTGGTCCTTTAAAACACTATTTTTTGGCAGAGACATGAAATTCAGCACATTACATCCACTAAGTATTTTGCATACATATAAACTGTCTTTCTCAAATGTTTTAAAACTAAACATACTATCAAATAAGACTCTGAGAGAAGCAGGCTTTCAAAGACCAAGGAAAGGGCATGAGAATTTTTCTTCTGCAGGAGAAAAGTATCACACACAGTTCAAACAGCAGTTAAGAACTTTCTGATACTTCTTTCATGAAATTCCCTGCACTCTGCCCAAAGGTTGGCCATAAGTCTCAGCATCTGCTTTGATACCCTGTAGGGTAGAGCCTTTCAGAGGCCCTTTGTGGCATGCTCCTGTACTGTTCCCTGTTTTCTCCTTCTGATGTCTATCTTCTTTGCCTTTCTGTATGGGGTTAGAACATTTAGCCAGAGTCCTCCTTGATTAGTTTCTTTAGGTGTATAGATTTTAGTAGGTGTATCCTGTATTATATGTCTAATATCCACAGACCTGGAGAGGACAGGAGCTCTACAAGGAGAGCAACAGAACCAAAAAATCTGGGCACAGGGGTCTTTTCTGAGACTAATACTCCAACCAAGGACCATTGATGGAGATAAACTAGAATCCCTGCACAGATGTTGCCCATGGCAGTTCAGTGTCCAAGTGGGTTCCATAGTAATGGGAACAGGGACTGTCTCTGACATGAACTGATTGGCCTGCTCTTTGATCACCTCCCCCTGAGGGGGAGCAACCTTACCAGGTCACAGAGGAAGACAATGCAGCTACTCCTGATGAGACCTGATAGACAAGAATCAGAAGGAAAGAGAGGAGGACCACCCCTATCAATCAGTGGACTTGGGGAGGGGCACGTGTGGAGAAGGGGGAGAGAGGGTGGGATTGGGAGGAGAGGAGGGAGGAGGTCACGGGGGATACAAAGTGAATAAAGTGTAATTAATAAAAATTAAAATAAATAAAAAATGGAAAAAAAAAAAACTTCCTGATAGCTGACAGTGAAGGTTCCTGGAAGATAAAGTGCCCAAAGAGGGTCTGAAATTCTTCACTTTGCACATGCGTTGACCAGTAGGCCATTTACCTCTGTCCTTTTATTATAAATAACAAGCTGGCAAACGTGCTTTCCTGGGTCCCGCTAAAGCAAATTAATGAAATTAAAGTAAGCTTCAGTTTTCAGCCAGCTGACATCATGAATAGCAAACTACTGCCTATAGTTTGCATCTAGAGTGGGGCTCAGTTTTGAACCGATGGAATCAGACACTACCTCCGGTGGGCAGTGCTAGAATTTATTCCCAAGTAATGTCTGTTTAGGTATTTTACTTGGCATCTAGGGTCAAAGTGACAGGTGAGAGAACTTTTTTCCTCTCAAAGTCATCCTTTCATTTGCTGTCAGTCAAAAGCCTCCAGTAACTAGCTTAAAGTCCTCTCCCCCCTACCACAGACCCTGAAAGGGTAATGAGGGAAGTATGTGAAAGCCCAGGTGTCTCTCTGACCTGAAGATCAACTGACAATGCCGTCATTGTGATGCCAGGCAATCCTGATATCCTGGCATAAGTGTGGGTATCTGGGACGGCAAGAGCAGAAGGATCAGGGTCAGGGAATCTTTCAGTAGCTCCACAATTGGTGGATGAGATTAAAATCCAGCAACGGGAAAAGTCAGAGCCATTGGCAACTGGAAATATTAGCATGGGGCCTATAACATCTTTTGCCTGGATTTGGACCAGATGGGTACAAGGCTGACCCCTTCCAGTTGTTCATCATGATAATTAAAGTAAATCTCACACCTGTGACAGAAAATTAGCTCAGGCCCCAAAGACAGCCATGGATAACGTACATTCGCTGCTGTGAGCACAAAGGCTTACTATCAGGAGGCATCAAGTTGCAGGAGTTTTTAGTTTGCAAAAATAGCTAAAGGTCAATTTCTAGTTATTAACTCTGTCACCTGGCTGATAAAAGTTAACTTTTCTTGCACATGTGTGGTGTGCTACATACACATTTGTGTTCCCATGTGTGCGGGCATACATGAATGTGCATGGAGAGTCTCAAGTTTGACCCCAGGTGACACCTGACCACTCTCTACCTTATACACTGACTTAACCAAGGGCTCATCTGTCCTGCCTAGCCAACTTGCTCTTGGTGATTCCAGTGGCGTCTCACAACCACCCAGCTTGCAGGTATTCTGTAGAGCAAAACGGTCACGTTTGTATGACAAGGTTTTATTCCTTTTCTCCACTCCCTCCCCCAATACTGTTTTGTTTCTTGTTTCAAGTTAAGGCTTCACTCTATAGCCCTAGCTGTTCTAGAACCCACTCTGTAGACCAGGCCAGCCTTCCACCACTTCTGCATCCAGAGTGCTGGGATTAAAGGTATGTGCCATTACCACCTGGCTAGAATGTACTCTTACAAGCTTTTCCTAAGAAGCCATATGTAAGGTTTCCTTCTAAATAGTCTCTTTAATAATAGAATTCTACTTGAAAGATCTAGCTGACCTCAGTACTTGAGGCAAACTTCTTGTGAAATTATCCCCTGTGGTCTGGCTTCATAGAAAGAGGAGTTTCTGTCAGAAGACCTCAGTCCTACTTCAACTACTAAGCGAATGTGGGCAGATCTTTTCATTTCTAGAGGCTTCTCTGACATAAGGAGTGGGGTGAGGACTGTGACAGGGCAGGATAGTGAAGTTCCTCCATCTTGCATTCTTGCTAAGACCATTTCAGGTTTAACTAGAATTTGATCTCTTTGGTGGAGAATCCCATGGCAAACTACCCAACTCTATTCTAGGAATCCTTGGTCAAGATGCCCCAGCTCACTTAGGTTCGATTAAACTGCCTTTTTTAGAACCCCCTTCAGCTAACCACTTATCTTCGCTTCTGTCAAATTGCTTCCTTACTTAAAGCCACCCCCTACGCCCATAATTCCAGAAAACTTATGGGGGTTCTATTTTCCAGCTCTCCTGAGGACTGAGTTTAATAATCGACAAAGCTACACTTCTAAAACCTCGATGTGGTTGCAGATTGCAATTTCTCTTAGTTGGGAGCTGTGTGATCCTCACCAAAGCCCAGGACAACTGAAATAAGAAATACTAGGGATGAAGAATGGCGCCCAAGAAGGAAACATGGAAAACAGCCTCTTTGGCAAGAAATAATACTGGTCTTCACGGTCCCATGCCCATCCTCCTTCCATGAGCAGAATGACAGTAGGGGTAGAAGTCTTCTATGAAGCAACATGTGAGCCTGCCTCCCAGTGCTAGTGTCTACGAGAGTGAGAGCCAGCAGTCCACATGAGTGATGTCTAACAGAGTTATCTGATCCAATTAAAGACAGCAACATTTCATTAGTTTTCCAGTGCCTAGGTAAGACACCTTAAACACTGACATGCAAAAACCTAGACTACTGTCAATGCAGGCTGGAGAGATGGCTCAGAGGTTAAGAACACTTGCTGTTCTTCCAAAGGTCCTGAGTTCACTTCCTAGCAACCACGTGGTGGCTCATAACCACCTATAGTGAGATCTGGTCTGGTGCCCTCTTCTAAAAGAGATGTTCAGGCAGAATGCTGTATAAATAAGTCTTTACAAAAAAAAAAAAAAAAAAAAAAAAAAAAAAAAATGTTGTGAATGGTGTGACTAATTTCTACACACTCCTAGGGTCCAGTAATCGCCATACAAATCCCATTAACATAACTAAGAAAAGAATCATAGACAAGCTGATTCTGTGAAATAATTTATTAACATTCCAAATTTAAACCTGTTGGTCTGCTGTTATTTCATTATCCCTTCTGTCCACTGAGCTCAGTAAAAACAAGCTTTCACTACTGCAAGAGCTGATGCTTTTCAAGGCCAGCTCATCACCTCTCACACAGTTTCTTCTGTGTGCATGTTTTCAATACTCTCACACTCTGATGTGTTGTAGATGTTAACAATGCTTCTCAAGCTCTGTTTCTACGACTATTGAAATAAAAGAACCTAAATATAAAAACAATGGGAAACAAGGCTCTTAGCACTATTACCTGTAATCATATACAGGACTTATTATATATTATAAATTATAAATTTCATGTAACAAAAACTCAGTTTTGAAAAATGCTTTATTTGAGAATTACATATTTCAACATCTTCCAAAATACTGTTTCCTAGATCACTAAAAAGAAAGCAGATTCAGTAAGAAATTTAAATCATTAAATACGTTGCACTAGTATATACATACAGAATGCTAAGCAATAATATTTAGCTCTGGAATGCGTACCATCTTCTTTGTCCTCATTAAAGGCTCAACCAGCATTGTGTAGGCAATGTACAAAGTTCCATGTACATAACAGTGTGACATTTAGTTGTCTCAGCTTATAGCTGGGGTAATTTGTCCACTGGGGTGTCAAACTTGAAGTCTGAAGGGAAGAGATCTGGAGCCCGAGGGTAGATCAGTCTGTAGGACTGTCTGATTGTAACATCAGCAACACCAGCAATGTCTCCGATTTCTAAAAGACAAAAAGCAAGACATTCAGTTGATCTGCAACACCTCTTTCCTCTTACCAATGGGGAAAACAGAAAAGTCCTCCAATCTCACTTTTTAGGATTAAAAATGGAAGGAAACACAACCTAACAGGTAAAAGCAGGAGTCAAAGTCCATATTAAAAATACTAATGGTAGGCCTCTGTAAAGGTATCTTAGGAATACTGAAAGATGTGAAGCAACCTAAAGGCATGGCCCTATGGTGACAGATACTGTGTTGCTTTGGACAAGTACTGTGTTGCAGGGCTGAGACAACACACCATGTGGAAAGCCCTGGGTTTTCCCCAGCACATCATAAAGATCCTGAGCTAGATGGCAAGTTTACAGCCAGCTCGGGATGTAAGACCTTACCTCAAAAACAACCCCAAAACAAACAAAAAAATGGAGACAGAACATGCACGAGGCCCCATCTTTCCCTTAGGGATGACTGACAATTGTGTCTGGGGAAAGGGGTACCTGTTGTAGATATTTTGGCTTATGATATGTACACAGGTTTTTGTTAAAATTCCAAGTTGGGGATTTTTAGTTTGTCCACACCTGATAAGTGTGGAACAGTGGTCTTTGCCAGGTGGAAGTAGTTGAATTCTGAGGACTTTGAGGGATGTAAATATGACAGCCCAGAGGAGGAAGGCAGCTGCTTGAAGAAAGAGTGTTTGCTCCTGGTTTGTCCTGCTGCTGCATTTGCTGCTTGCTGATTGGCCAGTTACCTGGACTGTTGAATTTCTAAGTGACTGGTATTGGTGTTGCCTCCAAAAGAATCCTACGACTCTACCCAGCAAGAAGTGGCAGAGAGAACTCTGGCCCCTGTCTCTACTAACTTCTTTCCCTCCTACCTGGTGTTGGGGGGTTGGAAGGAAGATAGAAGCATTTTATAACCCTAAATAAAGTAGATTTGCTAAAAAAAAAAAAAAATCCAGGGCAACAGATGCCATTTTCTTCAGTGATGTGACCATGATAAGCTGCCCATCCTCCAGGAAATAAATACCCCCCAAAAGACACAAATTAAAATTAAAAAATTTTTAATTTTATTATGGGAGGAGACTTGTACATAATTCTATGCCTCTAAATAATCACTTAAAAGCAAAATACTGTGTTTTCAGGTATTTTGTTTTGGTTTCGAGATGCTGGAAATAAAAACTAGGCCCTCAGGCACACTAAGCAAACACTCCTTTTGACGGTCAGGAGGGCTATATATCTCATCCTCTTTCCTTGTTCTGAATAGTTAACCTGCTTCATGGGAGATTAAAAGTAAAACCACCACACTCCGAGCCTTGCCATCTCGCTGGCACACTTCCTGATGAAAATCCCACCTTTCTGTGTCCGCTTCTCAGCTGATGCCTGGGAAGCCATGTAAATAGCTGCTGCCGCCACAGAGATCGGGCTTCTGCCAGGAACCAAGTCCAGCTCCACTGCCTTGCGGGCTATGTGTGTCGCTGCCATCTGCACTTGCTTGGGGAGGCAAAGATTGGAGCAGAACCTGGACATAAAGTCTCCAGTTGTGATCAGATCCACACTGGTTTCCAAAGCTTTCAAAATCAGTTTAAAACAGCGGCCAATTTCTTTCTTAGAAATTCGGGATACAGCACAGATTTCTAAAAGAAAAAAAAAATTTTTTTTAACTCATAAGCCAGAGTTCATTTTATAATTTCTCTCTTTTTATTATAAAAATAAAATATTCTAGTTGTAAAAAAGTCAATCAAGGCTTTAAGACAAAGCCCTAATCCTCTCAGCAATACTTCCCACGGAGTTTATTCATTCAAAATTTCTTGGTTTATATTTTCACCACACTTTAAATTTAGGTTGTATTCTTTCAAGATACAAACTTATCTAGTCCAATTTATATGAATAAGTTTCTCCAACTAATGAAAAACTTCCCTGAGCCTTATACATGAACCCTTGTAAGTGCTGTTCTAAGGAGGAACACTGATCTGAAGAATGCAAGCGCACACACACTCCTTGCATTGATCTGCATGGGCACTAAATAAGCTGAAACATGTGTGATAAACTCATCCCTCCTCATGTTGACAAAGGAAAGCTTGTGAAAGATACTCATTCGATATTGTGAGTGTAGTCTCCAACCTGGACCTGGGCAGTGAAAGTCAGTGGATCCATGTATCACAGCAACACTGGAGTAGGCTGGCCTGTGCCCCTGAGTAAACACAAGCTCACAAAAGCCAATAGATAAGTCAGAGTTTTTGGTCTGGACTTGACTCGCTCACACTTAAGACTGGTGCTAGTAGTAGTTGTTTTCCTCACCAGCTGCCAAGGTAACGCCAAAAGCCACTGCAGCATATGATGCTGGGCCCTAAAGCCCACAGAACAGTCAGCTTACAGTGGGCTTCCACAGAGAATGATGCTACCTACAAAAGCAGCTTGCCAGAGGCATGGCCAAGAGGACTGTCAAAGAACAAGATAACAAGGCACTGGCAAATGCTGTGTGCGTGGATTACTGTGCCACGGTGAAGACAAGCACTAGCTCTTAAGTGTCAGAGCTGCTGTCTGAGCTCTACGTGGTGCAATGGAAGTCTTACCTTTAAATGTCCTCGGAACGCCTTCTTGTCTACAGGCGATGTACAGGCAAGCAGAAGCTATCGCGTCATTAGCTCTTCCCTTCAGGCTCTTCTGCTCATATACTTGCTTGAATAAATTATTTGTTCGATCCTTCAAAGCAGAGAAACTACGTTTAATTAAGTCTAGGCCATTTAATTACTTACAGTATCAAAATTTTATGTGTTCATTAAATTATGCAAAGTAAATGTCAGAGTGGCTTAAAGGAGGTGGACAGGAACTTACAACTATATTGCGAGGGAGGTTGATTCTGTCTGCCATGGTCGTGATTTCCTTGAATGCATTCATCATCGCTCTATCAGAACTACTCATTGTTCTCCGATTCTGATACTTAGAATTGCCAAACTCATCAAAACTTGCAGCTCCCGTACCCTATAAAAGATACCATCTTGCTAAACATTTTTTGGAAAATTTAAACAGACAGTCTCTATGAAAATATAATTTACACAATCTGACTCTATATGCCCTGGGAGTCTGTCTGTGGAGCCTGTGCCTCAAACAGAAACTTCCATGAGAACATGCTTTAAAGAAACTGATTTCGGGGCTAGAGAGATGGTTCAGAGGTTAGGAGCACTGTTTGCGCTTTTTGAGGTCCTGAGTTCAATTCCCAGCAACCACATGGTGGCTCACAACCATCTATAATGAGATCTGATGCCCTTTTCTGGGTTGCAGGCACTGTATATGTAATAAATAAATAAATCCTTTAAAGAAATAAAAAATTAAAATATTAAAAAAAAGAAACTGGTTTCATAGACACTTAAGTAAATCTAAACAATTGTTCAAGAACACAGAAAATGGAATTATATGCTGTTTTAGAGTTTCACAATGGCACAAACTGTTTTTGTTTGTTTCTTTGAGACAGGGTCTCACTATATACCCCTGGTTGGTCTATAACTGGCTATGTAGCCTGAAGAGATTTTTCCAACCTGGCCTGCTGCCTGCAGAAAACTCCAGGATTGCAGTTCTAGGAGTTTGTGCCTACAGTGGGATGTGGCCTTTGGCAGAATCGTTACTTGGGTCCATCACTGGTTCCCCATCTGGGGTAAACAGACATTCAAGTGGAAAATTCTTTCACAGAAAGTACAAAGATGGTAACTTTGACTTTGTAATTGTACACATCTGGTTGGTTGGCTTGTGTGCGTGTTTTCCAGTGAATGAGTGGTGCCACTGGAGGCCAGAAGGGTCTCCCCGGACCGTAGTTACAGTTTGTGAGCCTCACTGCAAATGCTGGGAATTGAACCCAAGTCCTCCAGTAGAACAGCCAGTGCTATTAATCCCAGCCCAAGACTATAATTTTGATTTTATGTTCTTCCCTCCATGATGGTGAAAACAAAACAAAACAAAACACACAAACAAACAAAAAACCACACACACACCAAAGTTGGTAGACTTTCCCAATGGTAACATTGGCAAATCTTATTCTCTGGGTTAGTGATACTTTTGCAAAGATCCTACCTTTCCCCTGTCTAGTCTCCCCTTTATAGTTCTTGCTAAGTAGAACTCTTACCTTGCCAATCATAGTAGACAAATCTCCATCACTCAGAAGAGGATTCTGAGAGTCTCCAACTCGAGATGGGTCTTTTGTTGCTTTGTCATTGCTGAAAGTTCTCCATTCAGATCCTACATCGATAACCCGGTCCCCTAAGGAGGCAAGCACAGTTACACACTTAGCCAGGACCAGGACGGAGCTCCCCATGTTAATGGTAAGCATCTCAACATGGCCACTCAGGATCCAGCTTAGATACCATGGCTTACGTGTCTGCTCTGAAGCATTTACCAACTATGCCAGTCTAGTAATGAGCTATATGTAAACAGTATGTTGTCATTATTCACATCCCAAATCTTAGAAGAAAAGATTATAGTTAAAAATAGAGGGGAAAAAAAAAGCTGGTATAATAGTATATGCCTACAACCTGAGCATTTAGACAGCTGAGTCAAAATAGAGCAATCAAGGCTATACTGACTACATATACATAGGAAGACCTTACCTCAAAGATCAAAGCAAAATAAGAATACTATTCTTATGTGATACAAAGAAAAATAATGACACCAAATGGGGTGGTGCAAGCATTTTATCCCAGCACTCAAATGGTGGAGGCAGGCAGATATCCACAACCCCAAAAATTCCAGGCCAGCCAGGGCTACACAGTCAGACTTTGTTACAAACAAACAAACAAGGAGGGAGAGGGAGAAGGAAGGAAAGGGGTAGAGAGAGAGAGAAATTAAGAATAAAAATTTAAAGGCAGACAGGCATACGTTTCAAGCAAAGAGGCTGTGCCTAGGTATGTGGTATCGAAACACCTGACATGAATAGGTCTGACTGGCCACTGTGTTAGTAGGAAGAGCTCTGTGTCTGGAAGTATCTCTGAAGCAGAGAGAGAGAGAGAGAGAGAGAGA